CTTTCTCCTTCATTTGTGTCCTAGGTTATCAGGTTGGTCTCAGAGCCCTGAGCAGAATTGAATGCAACTCCAAGAGCAATCTGACTCATGCTCGGCAGGCAAAGTAGAAACATCACCTAGCTCATTTCAGACCATTTGCCTCTATTAATCTAAGCTAAAGCGGTTAGGGGGTGTGTGTGTGTGTGTGTGTGTGTGTGTGTGTGTGTGTGTGTGTGTGTGTGTGTGTTCCTTTTCAATTACTCTAAATTCTATTGCAATAATATTATCGTATTTGTTTAGGCCACTATCTTTTTTCTTCACTTAATTTGCTATATTCTGCCTTCTATTTCCCATGAATCCCCTCCAGCCTCTTGGAGAATAATCTCTTCAAGTAAACATACTCTTGAAAGATATCCTTGAATTCCAGTTCTTGGGATAGTATACCTGGCTCTGAAGCAGTCAGCTTGCTGCTTCATATTTATTTACATGCTGGTCTAAATTATTAATGTTTCATGCAAAATTTCAAACAAATGAGGAAAGCACAGCATATATGTGATAAAATTTTAAGCCACAATCTTCAAAACGTGCCCAAGAAATGCCATAACCACTGCTGAAAGGAAATAAGGTGTCAGCAAAGGAAAAGACTGTGGTTGTCCTTCCACGGCTGCTTTTCTTTGATGTACAATAGAAAAACTATTTAAACATCTGCCCGCAACTCTGGGCAGAGTGAACCAAATGTGTCTAAAATTCAAACCATACAATAATTTGTGTCCTATCTACCAAGAATTTGAAAAACTTTTATCTCTTTATATTTTCTCTACTGTCACAGTAAAAATAACATATTTCCTTCTAGCTCTTGAGAGAAATAAAAAGAGAGACAATATTTTATAATGCACTCTATAAAGCCAGCCATTAATACTGAAAACAGATACAGACATTAAAAGAAAGTAAAAACACAGATCAATATCTTTCATCAATATATAAACAAAATCTTCAACCAAACATGAGCATATTAAATTTTAAAAACTACAAAAGAAGTATACATCATTATTAAGTGGGTTTTATTTCAGGTATAAAAAAAAGTTCAACATCCAAAAATCAATAAGTGAAGACTATTATGTCAACAAGCTTAAGGAAAAAAAGCATATGATTATGTCAACTGACAGGAAAAAAATGTGACAAAATCCAATACCCACTAATGATAAACACTCTGACCAAATGGAGGGGAATTTCCTCAACTTAATAAAGAATGCTTACTAAATGAAAACTACTGCTAACATATTTTTGTGATGAGAGACAAGATACTTCCTCCTTTATGATAAAAAACAAAGCAAGGATGTCCACTCTCACCACTTCTATTCAACATTGCATTGAGTGTTCTAGTTCATGCAAGAAGACAAGAACAAAAAACAAAAGGAATGCAGATTAGAAAAGAAGAAACAAACCATTTTTTTTCACCAGATGACATGATTGCCCAGTTACACAACCCCAAAAAATCAAAATTAAAAAAAAATTGGAAATAAGAAGTATTTACAGAAAATTTGCAAGATACAAGATTAATATATAAAAGTCAATTGCATTTGTATACACCAGCAATGAACAATTAAAATTTAACATTAAAATATCATTTCCAATAGAGCCAAAAATAAAAGTAAGTATAAACATATCAAAATACATACAGGATCTGTATTTGAAAAATTATAAAACACTAAGAAAATACAAGAAATAAAAAGAATTAGATCAATGGAGAGATATTCCATGTTCATAGATTGAAAGATTCATTATTGCAAGATGTTCTTTCCAACTTCATCTATAGGCTGCAATCCCAAACAAATCTCTTCAAATTATTTTATAGATACTGATAAACTGGTTCTAAAACTATAGAAAGTGAAAGGATCTAGAATGGTTCCCACATGCTGAGGAAGAACAAAGTTGGAGGACTCACTACCTTATTTTAAGACTCACTATAAAACTAAAGTAACCAAGACAACATGGTATTGGTGAACAAATAGACACAAAGATCAATAGAACAAAATGGAGATCTGAAAAATAGATCAGTTTTAATATAGTCAACTCATTTTTGAGAAAGACACAAAGGCAATACAGTAAAGAAAAGATATATTTTATACATCTTTTATATACATGCACACAGAAGACATATTTTATATATCTTTTATATACATATATATATATTTATGCACACAGAAGTGGTGTTGATATCATTGAATGTCCATATGTCAAAAAAGAAAAAAAAGAGCCCAGACATACATAAGCTTTATACTTTCAACAAAAAGTAATTCAAAAACAATCATAGAACAAAATGTGAAAACAAAACTCTAAAACTTCTAGAAAAAAACAGAGGAATATCTGCATAACCTTGATTTGGTTAAAAAGTTTTTACACAACACTAAAAGTACTATTCACAAAATAAAATGTTAGACTTTATTTAAATTAAAAATTCCTGCTCTACTAAAAACACTTTTAAAAGAATAAAAAGACAGGCCAAAGGCTAGTAAAATATATTCACAGAACACATATCTGATAAAAGGACTTGTATTAAAAATATACAAAGAACTCAATTCTTAATAAGAAGTCAAACAAGTAAATACAAAATTTGGCAAAGGCCTGGAAAGATACTTCACCAAAGAAAATACACAGATGGACATTTAGCACATGAAAAGGTGCTCAACATTGTTTGTCATTAGGGAAATGAAAACTGAAACATGGAACTACAACTAGACACCTATTAGAATGCCAAAATTAAAAATAAAAACTGATAATACCAATTGCTGGTGAGGCTGGGGAGCAACAGGAACTCTTGTTGATGGAAATGCAAAATGGTACAGCTGCTTTGAAAGACAATTCTGCAGTTTCTTACAAAACTAAATGTACTCTACCATATGATCTGGCAAATACCCTCTTATTTACCTAAGTGATTTGAAAACTTCCATCCACACAAAAGCCTGCACATGAAGGTTTAGAGTAGAATGATTCATAATTTACCTCAACCAGAAACAACCAAAATGTCCTTCAATAGATAAATGGACAAGAAAATTGTGATATATATATATATATATATATATATATATATATATATATATCTCACACTCTATATATTTACACACACAATGGAAACAGCATGAGGAAATTGTGATATATAGATATATATATATATCACACTATATATATATACACACACAATGGAAACAGCAGAAAAAGGAATGATTTATTGAGCTGCAAAAAATATGCAAATGTCTTAAATGCATATTTCATATTGAAAAAAGGCCAGTCTGAAAAGACTGTCTTTTATATAATTTCATTTACATGACATCTGGATAAGGCAGAAATGTAGAGAAGATTTGGGAGTAGGGTTGAAAAGTGAAGCAAAGTCGATTTTTTTTAGGGCAGTGAACCTATTCTGTGATGGTGGGTTCATGACATTATGCTGGGAACTTAAAACTCATAGAACTTCGTGGCAGAAAGACTGAACCTTAAAGTATGCAAGTAAAAGTAATTTTGGCAGTTGTGGGCCCAGTGTGGAATGAAAAACTTCTAGAAGAATCTGAACATATAGTAAATGTATGAAAAGACCTCACTGAAGGGTGTGGGGGTGAAGTTTGCTGACCCTAAGCAACCTTAGAAATGAGAAGTCTTAACTTGTAAGACCAATGACAAAAGGAAGTGTACACAAATGCTGTAGTTGATAAACTATACCATGAGGTATAGATGGGATAACAATTCTGAACCACTGAATATGTATACTGGAATTGAACAATTAAGTAAATGAATAGTGATGATAATAGATTTGTCTCTCACTCTTGGTATCAGAGGTTATAGAAATGCAAGAAGGAAGCTAGCATGATCCATGGTGTAATGTACCAGGGTGAGCCAAAGCAGGTTTACAGTTGTTCCTTTGGAAAAAGCCACACAAGTTAAATTAGCCATCATTACTTAAAAGATAAATTATATGTACTTACAACTGTAAACCTACTTATGCCCATCCCTGTGTTAAAGTTGGAGACATTAATATGAACTCATTGAGCCAAATGAAGACATTTCCAATGGCAAAAGTCAGAACAATGTGAGCAATATAATAAATAAAATAGTGTTGAATCATAATTCAAAATGTAAAATAAATATGAATGACTTTTTAAGATATAAATGATTGAATAAATAAATGAGAGAATTGACAAATACTCTCTCAGAAGAATTTTAAATAATTATGTAGATACTTTGTCTTCAAAGAGGTGGAGCACAACTCTCAACTTCTTAAGTGTGGGCTGCATATCTTGACTTCCTACCAAGACTACAATATAAAAATTGGGACAAGAGGAACTTACAGTTGATAAACTTGACAAACACTACCAAGTGACTGAAGTTAACATCAGATAAGCAGTGATAAGCCATGTTGATAGTATGTACGTTTAATAAGATGTAATAAAAATGGCAATTTACCTCTGTAGTCTTCCTTTGAAAATTTATAGCCCAAGTATAATGATGAGAAAAACATTAGACTACTCTACCTTAATTTGAGAACAGTACACAAAATATCTGACCAACATTCCTCAAAAATTTCAAAAATCATCAAAAAATAAGAAAAAAATAAGAAATTGTCACAGCCAAGAATTTCCTAATGAGATCTGAGGACTAAATGTATTGTGATACCTTAATGGGATTTTTGACTAAAAAAAGGCATGAGGTAAAAACTAAGAAAAAGGTATTAGTTAAAAAGTGAATAAAAACTGAATAGACTTTAGTTAATAATAAGGTATCAATGTTGACTTATTAATTTTGACAAATTTATCATGCTAATATAACATAATAATAGGGGTGTTGGGTATATAGAAACTCTATATTATCTTCACAGTTTTCCTATAAATCAAAATTATACTAAAAGAAAATTTTATTTAGAGAATGAGAGTTCCTTCACTCTTTAACCATATCCTTTGTGGCTTTATAGCTAGCTTTAGGTTTTGTTCTAGTGCCACAGTGCTTACACACAAACTGCTTTTGAATAGGTGATGTGGCTCTTTCCATCGAATTCAAAGATGGATTATTCTATTTACAGGACGTTTGGACAAGAGCAAAACACAGAGAGACCGATGATTCAGAAGCTAAGGAAACACCCTTATCATTGCCAATGCAAGTGGTCATGCAAAGGTGAGAATCTATAATCTTCCATTAGACCTCAGATTATAGAGCTAGGATTTTTTGTGGGTTTTTGAATCTTAGGTTTTTAATGATAACTTTTAAGAATTTGAACTAAAATGCATTATTCAAAAAATGTGTTATCTTATTTTGAAATAACGTGTTTACATAGATATCTATGCACCAGATTATGTGGTTTCCTATCTCTGTAACCCTCACATCTAACACAGTTCCTGGCATGTAGTTATGTTTATAAACACTATTAAACAAAATGTAATAGATCAAATTTTACTTAACCTGTGTTGAAGATTATAAAGATTAGCATCTGAATTTTGTTTCATGAATTGATATAGATATACAACTTTTATTTCAAACAACATTTGGTATGATGGCTACAATATTCAATATTGCCTATGTCTCTCCATTAGACACTCATTTTTATTACTATTCAGTTATTTTGGTACAACATATATTTCATCTTCTTGGGCTTCAATCCCACTGAATATTATTTGTGTAATTTAGTCAAAATATAAATGAAAGTAAATGACAAACTTTAGCAGAAATGTTTCGACTTATCAATTAATCAGTTTATATGGACCCATTTGTTGGATAAATGGCAATTTTGGAACAGGAGTGTTAACATAAGGAGGATATTTAATTAAATAAAACATATTGACCCTTACTTTAGAATCAATAAATTTCTTTAAAGATAATTAAATATGTGTTCATGTCAAGGTAGTTTAAACAGAGATTGTAGATTTCTTCACCCATCATCAGACAATGTGTACCCTCAGAATTTACACTTCTATGACACATTTTCAAGATCATTTTAAATATCTAAATATTTCATAAAGAAAAATTAATCATTACAGATTACCCTGAATGTCCAAAGTGGCATCAGACTGCTCTGAGACTTGATCAGCATTGCCCTGGTTATACTCATTGCTACAGTGATAGGACTAAGTATTTGGGGTAAGTAAATTAAAAGTTATATTCAAGTATATAGATTAATATATTTCCTTTGGAGTTTACCTTTATTTCTCTAACATTGTCAGATAATTTTTCACATTTGCCTGATGATGTTTTCATTATTATTTCAATTATATTGGTAATAAATGACACAGTTGATGATTCCATTAATAATTAGTAGATTTTCCCCATACAAAGAGGGTAATAAACTAATTTATAAAGTCTATTATGCTCATAATTTTAATTAACTGGTAAATAGCATGGGCTTGACAGTCACAATTCTATGAAATGAAGTTTTAGATCTTGATAAAATTATTTAGTTTTATGAAAGCTGATTTCGCCTTTTTAATAAAATCTTTTATTTCAAAAGTGACTTCATATTTTGAAGTTTTTACAAAATTTATCAGCTGCTTAAAAATTGAAGACCAAGTAAAATTAAATATTTATTCCTACAAAAGTCATTCCTAGAGCACCCAGTACTAGTGATCAAAAAGATTGTGCATGGGGTCCCACAGCACATCTACTACATAAAGTCATCCTACTGAAACTGGGGGTCATAGCAGATCAACATGACACATAGAAACAAACAAAAAGAGGCAGTCAAAGTGGGGAGACAAAGATTCATGCACAATTGGAAGAATAGGAGAAATCTCCAGAAAAAGAGCTAAGTGGAGGCACACAACTTACTGTACATAGAGTTCAAAAAAATGGTTATAAGGATGCTCAGAGAACTTAGTGAAAACTCTTAGTAACGTAGGAATAGAAGAAACATATCCCAAAAATAAAGGCCATATATGATAAAACCACAGCTAACATCATATTCAATGGGCAGAAATTAAAATTATTTCCCTTAAGGTCAGAAAAAAGACTAGGGTTCCTGTACTCCTGAAACCTACATAATTTTATTAGCTAATGTTACTTTAATAAATTCAATAAAAACATCTGTTCTAAAATGAGCTCTAGTTCAGTAAAAGCTATGGATAATTACATCCGTTATTGTTTCTATTTGTTGTGACTTTCTACATGTTAGGATATGGGGAAATTATTTTATATACATTATCTTTTAGCCTTAGAAGAACTCTAAGTGTGTTAAGCATTCCCCCAACTTATATACGAAAAAACTGGAAACAGAGAGCCTTCATAACTAGTTCAAGATCACAAAGAATTCTAACCTATACCAATAAACAGAGGCAATTTTAAATATATTTTAACTTTACTTAGATTATTTGTTTTATTGTTTGTTTCTACTTATTCTTTGCAAGTGGAAATCCATTTCTAAATTATCCATACTTTGTCACATTAGAGAGTCAAAATGCTAAAAAACAGACTTCCTTTTAACCAGCAGTGTGCATTCACTTACAATTTCATTCTAATAGATAATTAAAAGGCACAGTATTATAAATTTTAGAAATCTACTTAGTGTTACTCCTCTTTATTTCCTAGTAAGTCACCTACACATATATTCCTTCAGTGATAACCATTGCATGGAGATGTTTGGCAATGATAATGAAACCAGAGATTGTGACTGTATGAATATTCTTCCCAAGAAACAGCAAGGTGCTACAAACTCCCCAAGTAAGTGATTTTATATCATTCTATTGTAGGGGAGCAAAAGCTTTCTTGCTGCCCTCTAAAGTTTAGTACCTGGGGTGGTGCCTCAGGGAGTGATGCTTTGGGGAGAGGGAGGGGCGCTCCTGGATCTGAGGGTTACTGTCTGGAGCCAGTTGAGGAGGGAGTGGAGCTCTGAATCCTGCAGAGCCCGCCCCAGGTTGTCACGGATGGAGGAAATAAACACGAGCTGTTGCAAACACTTCTCTGTTTGCCAGGAGAGGGACATGGCTCTTCCCTCTTGTGGGGAAGGCCCCGAGCCCCTGTGTCCAAAGGCTTTTATCGAGAACCATATGCACAGGGGTATGGATGCAAATCTCATCAATCAATGTCAAAAGGCTATATTTACAAAAAACAAATAGAGATCGTAGATAACAATTGCAGGCACACAAGAGATCTGCCTCAGGTCAGGATCTATGAATAATGTAAATTTCCTTCCTAGTATGAGCCAGTTATCATAGTTTTTGAGGGACAAAGTGAACTTATTTCTAGGCCTGATTCCCCCCTGGGAGCTGCCTGATCCAGTTTAGGGCTGTACCTGCCTTTAGTATTGTTTCAAGCCTAAGCCAGGTGGGTGGGGCAGAGCCACCAAGAGATACTGAGCTGAGGGGTGCGGGCCTTTTTGCCCTTTCTCTGTGTCCCCCAAGTCCATCGCCTGCTGCCCATACCTGCCGATGTCTGTCTTAGGTCGTCTCTCCTCACGAAAGAACTTACCCGTTATCAACAACTGACCATCACAAGGCCAAGCAGGGTGATGTGAGGGAGGCAGGGGCTGTGCCCCTGCCAGGGGGACAGGTTTTGTCTCCTCAGTGGCTTGTTTTCCCAAGGCCTCCTTGATTATTTCCAGCCTTGGGGCCCTCTCACCTGTCAGGGAGGCTGCAGTCCCTGAAGCCAGACAGAGTGTTCCCCAACAGGGGATGGTGAATTAAACTGACAAAAAAAAAAAAAACCAGGAGAAAAATGTTTATTTACATGCATACCAGAACTAACAAAAGAAGTAGTTAGTTCAACATGCTTTAAAGTTAAAGTCTTATATACCTAACTTAGTTTAGGTAAGAAATGACTTCCATGGGGAAATCGCTTTTGTTTTTAAGGAAAGGCAAATTTTTTAGGACAAACTGGAGAAAGAAAGTTTATGACAGTGTCTGTTTATGCAGGTGAAAGCAGTCTTTCCATTCTCTTCATGGTGGGTTTCCTCTCACTTTTTTTTTTCCTGAGAATGAATCACCCCAAAGACAAAATTTATGGCAGCCTCATTTCTTAGAATTTTCTGCTTTTAGTCAGGTAAGAGTAGCTCTGAAGAGCATTTCCTGAATCTCAAATGTCTCCGGCTTAAAATAACTCATATAAAAATGAAATATTTTTGTCTGGTGTATTCAGACCGTTTTCTGTATTTTGAAGACAATTTTCTCATTTCACTTCTTTACCTCTAATTCTACTTCGTATTAATCTGCTCAGGCTCGCTGCTTAGATGATGTTTACTGCTAATTTGCTTATCTTACTGCTGCTAAAACTCTTTTCAAACCACACTCCCCATTAGCCATTTGGCTGCTACTTTAAGTGTTGTCGATAACAAACCTATCACTGGCTATCTCTCTCCATTTTTCAAAATTTAATTTATTTATTTGACTTTATATACTTTTTAGGCATATACAAAATACTTGGTTTACTGACAAGATGGCAAGAAATTTGAGAAAAATGTTCTGCTTTTAAGCATGGTGGGGGGAAAATGGAGACAACTGTACTTGAACAACAACAATAAAAAAAAAATCTAATGATCTACGTGTGAGATTGTAAAGACAGTCAAATGGCACTGCCATATGCAGTTTAAACTGATGAAATCTTTCCTAACAGAAGTCCAGAGTACCTTCCTACATGAGCCATTTGTATCTCTAAGGGTAATGTGGGTATAGGAGGTGAAGTGTGGGTTAATGATGATATGATAAAAATTACTTAATGACACTTGATGACTGTAGAGTCACATTCCTGGCATATCTATTTTATTTGATGGGAAGTAATCTAGATAACATCATATTAAATCAAACTCATAAATACATTAAGGGTTAGAATGTAATACCTGCATGAAAATATAAGATGAAATCATGTTTTTAGGAAATTGTGCCCAGGAACTTAAGGAACCAATTCATTGTCCTTTATTTTTAGAGATGATTTTGTGGAAAACTGTGAGGTGCTTTGGCCTACAGCAGTTTTGTAAGCACTTTAACATATTCTACAATGGTCTCTGAGTCTTGATTTCCTGCAATGGCAGTTTAATTTTTCACAAAACAAGGTTCTCCTTTGTCCTTTGCAAAACAAAGCTCTATGAAGAAATAAAAGGTAGTATACTCTCTCAACTTTGTCATTATTCATGCTGATCAAGTTCATCTGTTTTGAATATTTATTTCTCCATTATATTTTCTTACTCTCTGAACCCTTCTAACATACACACATAGTTCAGATTGTACATGCTAATATAATATGATAAAATCACGGTTGATTTTAGTTGCATTTCTTATACAATAGGGAAATTAAATGTAAAATCATATATATTGGATATTTGTATTTTTTATTCTATAAACTGTTCACCATCTTTGCCTCCCTTTTTTTTTTTAAAATAAGGTGTTCATTTTTTCTTATTTATAAGTGCTTATTGTAGAATAAAAGTTAACATTTTCTCACAAGTTACAATTAACATTGAAGTAAAAAATCTACCTCAAACTATAAACTTTAGTCCAGTTTAAGTACAAAGAATTATACTAAAATATATTTGTAGTCCTTATGTTAAGTTTGGATAATTAATAAATGTATTCTCATTAAATATTGATGGCGATAGAGTAATAGACTACAATATGAAAATATAACTGATGCTTTTGTTTATGATTGTATTTTTCCCTTAAGACTTCATTCTTCATATCACATCTCTTTTATAGGTCAACAGAGTACTTTCTTATTCTGGTAATTCCCATATTGCTCCCTATACATTCTCTTCTAGGCTTCTCTCAACCACTTGGAGGCCTTCTTTGATTGGAGTCCTAATACTATGGCGCTCAAAAATTATTTGTTGACTCTCTTCATCATCTTACCTTTAGCATATCAGTAATAGTCTCCTACACTTTAAATAAATATAGTTTTCAATAGATTAATTTCTCTTTCTTTTTACTGTATTGGCAGAATCTAGTCTTCTTTATTGCTGTAAGTCTGGGACTTTTAGGCAAATATAAAGAAAAGTGAAATGAATAATTTGTGCTTTATTGTAGATGCTAAGTGCTACCATTGCAAAGGGCATATCACAGTAAACCTCTGAATAAGCATACGAGCTTAAAGTCATTTATTTCTGTCAATAATTTATGATACTGAATTTCAGCAAAAATAAAATTCTCCAGCTTTGGTCTCAGGTATATTGATGGGTATTTTTCCCTGGAAAATGTAGATAAAGCCTAGTTTATTAATACACTATTTCAATGACCACTTTGTTGTCATTACTTCTAAAATAAAATCCCTTGGAAAGAGGATTGTAAAGAATCAGGATACTTTGATGATTCAAAACAGAAACTTAAACTGTGATATTTTCTTGAAATAATATAATTTCTCCCAATGTCTTATAAAGAGCTGCCACAACCTCTAATGGTAATAGCTAACTTTTGTATATAGTATCTTATAGTATATATTTTCATGTTTATCTTTTTTATATAAGCATATCAGATAAGTTTGTATACAAATTTGTGAATATTTTCAAAATGGTAAGCAATATTTAAGACATATAAAATTTAAATAGAATACAATCAATACTTATCTATCAACTATTCAGTTTAAAATTTAAAAAGAATCATTATTTCAGTTGAAACCTGTGTGTACTCATTTCTGATGTAGGTTTATTTTAGTTATTTCAAGTTTTTCCTTTATACAGAGATAAGTCTGCTGGTCATTGAGGCATATGGATGCTGGGGTCCTGTTGAAGAATTTGTTTTATAAAGTTGCTAATACATATGCTATGAAATACATTCTTCTGCACTAAAAAAGGACTCTGAAAGTGACTATTTTTCATAGCAGTTTGCTTCTGATGCCACTTAAGCTCTTCATTTTACTTTAAATTTCCCTATGTCCTACCACTTATTAGTTATATGACTTTGAGTAAATCACTTAACCTTTAGTTTCCAAATTTATATTTACTTAAGCTTAACCTGAGTATCTTTACTTACTCAGTATTTACTTACTGAGTATCTTTTATCTTATAGAATTAATCATTTCATAGGTTTCCTAAGTTTCTTATGAGAAAAATTTCATATATTTGCACAAAATTATCTGACATGTGGTAATTACTCAATAAATAATAACAAATATTTATTGCATTCATCTCCTCTAAAGACTACAATAAGTGGCAAGGGAGTTTATTTCTTAAATGTGGGATAAAATATTTACTTTTAAGGAAACAGTTTACAAAATTAGTGAAAAAAATTGTTGGTTTTTTTTTAATATTCAAACCTTGTTCTTATTCCTATTTCTATCCATATTGTCATTTCAGCAAACCGTAGACTAAACTTATGCCCTAATGGTTGGCTGCAGGAAAAAGGGAAATGTTACAACTTTTTTTACACTTTTAAATCATGGATCAATAGCCAAAAATTCTGTTTAAAAATGAAATCATGTCTTTTGATTATCCAAGACAAGGCTGAACTGGTAAGAACTAATTTTTAGCCCTTTTGAAACTAGAAGAAATAGATATATTTTATAATCCAAGTATTATATTACTAATAATTATTGCCATTTATTGAATTCCTGCTGCGTGGCAAGAACTGTGTTAGGCATATTATAAACGTAATATAACTTAACCTTATTGTGGTCACAATAACCTTATGACATATGTGATATTTTCCCCATTTTCATAAGAAGAATCTGCAGAACTTGATAGATTGTATAAACTTGTCTATCTAACTAAACAAATTGCAAAACTAGGCTATCCATGCCATCCTTCCATACTATCTCTTGGAGAGAAAGACAGGAGCTCTTTCAGGTACTCATCAAAAGCATTACCAATATTTGGAAATATCCTTAATATCTTGGGCAAGAAATATAGGGCCCTTTCATTTAATTTGTGTGAAGTTGCACTGTAGGCATCAGTTTCCTACAAGACTGAACATTGGTAGACAAAGCAATCCATGCATGGTTGTTGCTCCTTTAGGTAGACTTACTCCTTCCTTATTTTTGCTTCACATCCTCTCTGTGCCCTTCTTAAGATTTTTCTAATTAGGGAGATAAATATCAAAATCTTTTAAAGTCTGGAAAATGTCAAAAAGTCTATTTTAGTAGGTATAACTCAGTTAAGTTCCTGTGGATACGCTTTCACAGGATTTCATGCAAAACAGTGCACAAGATGGAATCTACTTTTGGATTGGATTGAACATTACACATCTGCAAAAGACCTGGACCTGGCTGGATGGAACCCCATTAAACCCACAGTTGTGAGTGTTTGACCTTGAGTACCATTGGGAAAATATAAAACTCAGCAGCCAACTGTTACTGGGAGCTTCCTGAAACTCTAGATAGTCAATTAGTTCTTATAGTTTGTAGACATTGATCTTTGTTAATGTGTGTGTAAGAAATTTTCCTTAGAGAAATGAAGGCTCCTAAGTTAATTTATTATCATATTTGGTATTTTTTTAGTCTACCTATAATATTTGAGGTATAAATAGAAAATTGTAGTCAATAAAAATTTCCTAAATTTAAATTCTTAAAAAAGTCTCTTAAATTTCATAAAATAATCCTTTTTTTGATTAATAGAAGGATTCTAATGATTAAGAAATACTACAGAATAAATTATACATAATACAATGAGAGGTCATTTGACTCAAAATTCTGTTACCACAGTAAACAATATCTGTATCTATTTTTATGTACCTCATTCATTTCTGCTCAAATTCATGGACAGAGAGCACTGAATCTTCAAGGATTGTGGATCAATCCCCCCAAAACACAGGCAAAATATCTGGGGGTGGGTATTCAGGGTAAAATTGTTTAATCTCAGTTTCAAGGTTTTAGGAATCATCAAAGGTTAATTGAACTTTTAATTAAAATTTTAATTTTGATTTTTGCGGTTGCTTTCAAAGAGATAAGAAATTAAAAAAAGATAAGAAAGCATGTAGATGTTCTGTAGTGATATAACAGGCATGCCAGGCTGGCTGAATGGTAGCAAAAAATGCTGTGAAACAGAAAGTCATTCTACAAATGCATATTCTTATCCAGAGACTATTTATAGTATTTCTTTTTAAAATTTATACACTATACATACCCATGACATCTGTACACCAAACACACTAAATTAATTTAAACCTCTTATTTATAGTTATTTCTAATAGAAATATAATACCATATTTTAAAAGTTATGTTCTTTTAACTTAATTCAAACTTGCTTAGAATTATTAATTTTGGATCTAGCTTTTAAAATTAAGGATATTTTAGTTTTTTTAGATCCCTTGTGTCTTATTTCTCTAAGATGCAAAATGTTGGTTTAAACATTATGGAAAATCAGAATTAAAATGAGAAGTTTCCTTCATTCATGTTAAGGGTGAAGGATTTGAGTATATCTGTATGTACACATATACACAGATGTTTTCTTGTTAAGGTGTCTATGTGAGTTAAAAAATTTAGAAAGGAAGAGGTCTTCTCCCCTTTTCTTCACTCTCTTGCCTCCAAGCCTGTCTGAGGCTACTGTTGCCAGCTTTAACATGTGAAGTCTAGATGTACCAAAGAATATTCTTTCTTAGAATCTCTTGTAAACACAAGGAAACTCATCACACACAAATAGCGAAGGAAGATTTTAGGAATAGGTGACATTTGGGATTTAGGTCTGAAAGATGAGGTTAATAGTTTGATGTATCCCACAGAAAACTAGTTTAATATTTTTGAAAACCATTTACCGTTTTATATGTGTTGATATTTCTAAATCTTAAAACAATAAATATGATATTGCATGCTGTAGGTAGACTATCATTCAATTGTCGCAGATATTCCAAAAATCGAATGAGGAATTTTGGAAGTAACAAAATAAGTTATTCTCCCAAAATGTCAGGATTGGCTTCGAGAATGTTTGGACTGCTCTAACAATATACTACACAATGGGTAGTTTATAAACAATAGAAATTTATTTCTCACAGTTCTAGCTGGGGGTGGATTCCAAGGTCAAGGTGCCACCATGGTCACATTTTGATGAGGGCTCTCTTCCTGGTTTGCCGCTAGAGCCCTCTCACCATGACCTCATACAGTGGAGCAGTCTAGAAATCTTTCCAGTGTCTCTTTGATAAGGAACGAATCTTACTCCTGTGGGGCTCACCCTCATGACCTAATCACCCCCAAAAGCTCCACCTCCTGATAGTATCACTTTGGGTATTAGGATTTTAAAATATAAATTTGGGGGGACACATACATTTAGACCATAGCACACAGCTTGAGAAACAGAACTTTGAATTCATCTTATGTATGACAAAATGAAGAATCTTCCTCCAAATTTTATGTATTATATTGGCATAGTCATTATAGCCACCGTGTATCTTCTAACGTAAAGCCCTCTTAAAGGCGCTACTTCTAAATACCATTATTTTTAGGGATTAAAATATTCAGACTATAGCAATCCTCTGAGATCTTTATTTTTATATAATTATATGGCATTGGGAAACCAGTGTTTCTTCTTCATATTTTTATTCCATGCAGTGTTTCTATTTCCAAATGATCAATTTTGGTTAAAAAGCTTTTTGGAGCAATGTCTTCATTAATTAAATGGTTGTTTAATGTACATTCATTGTATGAGTATTACAACGTCTTAGATTTCCAACTTGGAGAGTAGTACATTCTTTCTAAAAAGAAAGAAAATGCATAAAATATACATCATTGTGTTTTCAGGAGAGTGAAAACAGTGTTTCCTTTTCCTCTACAGATTTCAAGTCACAGGCAAGGTGGAAGACAATGCTTGTGCTGCAAAAACAAAGAAGGGTGTTTTTTCTGAAAAATGTCACACTCCTAGTTATTGGATTTGTCAAGATGTGATTTCTTCAGACAATGACCTCTAAATTGACTGCAGGTATTTCTCCCATTAACAAAAAAGTTTACAAATACTCTTTATTTATGTACTTCTGTAGAAACACTTCATTTCTACAACAAAGATATGGTAATACTGATGATATTGCTGTAGATGTGTGTCACTATAAATTCAGGCAATCAGCCTCAACTGAATCCTTAGTTCTAAGTGGTCACTCACATTATTTTTTGATAGTCACCTCCCATTTTTGATAGTAGCTATCTCAGACAGAAACTATCCTTTTATCTCCTCAATAATTCTCTCCCTACACCTCTCATCACTATGAACAGAAGAGCTGGGTTTGTTTTTGTTTTTGTTTTAAAGAGGAGACATTAGATTATATATTCCTGAACTTTCTCCCATTGAATCTACACATTTGTCTACATCTTATTACTTTTTCCTCTTCTCCTTTCTCCAAAAAAAAAGTGTTTTCCCTCTTTCTGTCTAAATCAAATCTCCAAGTCTGTGGTCAGGATTGCATCTCTTTTAATTTTTTCTAGGAAATCCCTTCCTTGATTATTTCCTTTCTTACCTCTCTTCTAACGTTCCTTTTCTATCAGCAACTACATATGCAAGAGCAACAAAAAAACTTTCCCTCAACCACATGTGGCTTCTAGTTTCTGTCCATTATTTCCCAAATCTAATAAGTAAACTTCCTGAAAATTGTTGATGTTCCCCTTTTCCTCTTTCTACCTTCCATTTCAAGCTTTAAAATGTGGCTTCTGCTTTTTCAACTATTCCACTAAAGTGTTCTCACCATGTCACCAATGACTTTCTTTGGGCTAAATACAATGAGAACTTTTTTGCTTTCACTTTAACTATCAAATGTGCTCATTACTGACCTATCTTTTCTTCTAGAAGTATTCTTTAACCTCCACATCTATGGTGTGAAACGCTCTTGAAGTTCTATCTACTTCCAGGCATTCCTCTTTACTCTTTTCTGCAGTGTCTCTTTCATCTTCTAATTTCATAAATACTGCTATTCCTCAAAGTTCTGTGTGCATTCTCTATCATACAAAATTCTTGACTGAACTCACACATTCTATAATTTTAATTGCCACTGATTTACAGATAAGTCCCAAACCCTTATTTCAAGCCTTGAACTTATTACAGTGGATCTCTATTTGGACATCTCAAGGCCCCTCAATCTTCACATGTTAAAAATTAAACTCACTAACTTAAGGGAACATGCCTCCACTAGTCTAAGCCAGAGTCCTCTGAATCAACCATGACTTCCATTTTTTCATGCTCAATATTCAAACACTAATTTAAATCCTGTCAATTTACTACATAAATATTTCTGGAATTCATCTACATATCTTCATACCTATCCTTTCATCCTGGATTACTGCAGCAATCATTTTGTTTGCTTCTAGTTTTGTCTGCCAGAGTCCATTCTTCATATTGTGACATAGTGACTCTCTAAACCTCATTTCAGACCACATTACTCATTACATAATTCCTTTCAGTCACTTTTTATTGCTTAAATCTTTTTTTCACCTCCTACCAGACCTTTTGTGTCTTGGCTTCTCTTTATTTCTCCCTCACTTCCATATGTGTAATGATATGCAGACATACTAACTTTTTTCCAGTTCTTCAAATGTGTCATGCTTTCTCAGGCCTCTAATCTAAATACATATTGTTTGCCTCAGCTTACCAAACATTGTTTTCTTCCTTACTCACCTTTTAAAATTCTTGCTTATTTTTCAGGTGACTAGTTAAATGTCATTTGGAGGGATATACTTCTTTGACCATTCTCCACTCCAGACTAAATTATGTGGATTTGGTTTATATTTTCATAGTCCCTGTAATTTTCTAATCTTAGCATCTATCAATAGTACCTTCTTTTTTGGCCATTGTTTACCTAACTGTTTTTAAATGCACTGTAAGATATGTAAGGTCAATAGTCCTTATTGTCTGGAACAATGAGGTACAATGGATGACAAATAAGTACCTTTTATGTTATCATATATTTGTAACATGTTCTATGAGCTCCCCAGCCCAAATTTTACTAGCTTTGAGGATCTTTTCCTAGTGTAAATAAGCATAACCTGCATATAGAGAAGTAAATCTATTTTCTTAAATAAAGGTCAATGTTAGGTTTATATGCATTAATAAATAAAATTTTCCTGGTTTGCTGCTTGTTTTTGTTTTTAACCTAGAACCTTCATTGAGACTTGGAGTAGAGATGTGACTACATTAATGTTTGTTAATTCAAGTTTACCAATGGGATACCTATTTTAAAGTCTTAGATCCAATAAGAATAAAACCTAAAGGGTATACCAGAATTTTAAAAATATATTTATTTCAAATACATTTGTGTGTACAGAAGTAATCATAGTTTATTGGAAATGAAATAGAAAGCTTTCATCTCACTTAAAAAAATTAAACACAAAGAATGTGGAACCATGTTTATTTAGTATATGTGCTATTTTATTAATGTGAAAATTTAAGAAATGTGGAAAAAATAATTGGAGAGCAGTTACAATTGAAAGAGAAAAATGATTGGAGAGCAGTTACAATTGAAAGAGAAAAATAATTGGAAAGCAGTTACAATTGAAGGAGAAAAAATAATGGAAGATTAAGAGATCTCTAATATTCAAGGCCAAGTTGTCAATGTTCTTTGAAACACTATTTGTAGCGGGGACTAACAGCTGTTAGAGGAGAGGGAAGTTGGGGGGCTCAGTGAAAAAATGTGAAAGGATTAAGCAAAGAAATATTTTATGACACATAGACACCAACAATAGTAAGGTGATAGCCAGGGCAAAGGTTGGGGGTGAGGGAAGGTGAAATTGCGCAAATGGAAGATCAATGAGAATGGAAAAAGACTTTAGTTTGGGCAATGAGCACACCATCTAGTGTGCAGATGATGTTTTATTGAGTTGTACACTTGAAACCTGTACAAACTGTACATGCAAAACTGAATAAACAGTGTTGAACTCCATTTGCAAGTGAGTGCTTAAGAATCTTAGTGCTTAACCTATTTTAACTTCTTCAGTCTCTTGGGGGCTCCCTTTCTGCCATTGTCATTATTTTTTCATCTAATTTCTTAGTTAATTCTCAGAAAATAGTTTGATTAAGCTCAAAAAAAAAAACAAAGTCAAACAAATTGTGTTTATTTTAATAGTTAAATGCACATTGCATCATATGGCAATTCAAGGGTGGTAGGCATGAGATACATGTTGGCTATTGTTTTGGTCCAAACCTAGAGCAGAACTCCAAAAAGACAAAAGAATTGATCAATTAATAAACCCATAATGGTAAATTGTTAATAAATATTAAATTACCAATCTGGGAATATATGTCCATAGATATCATATATCACTTGATTTATCTTCTCTTTTCTAAGTAAGCATCTCTTAAGTCAAATGAAGTATCATATATTTATTCTCACAATATAATAAGATTATATTCCTGAATATCTTTTTTCCCCATTTATATTCAATTGTTTAAAACATTTTGGCTTTCCTACTAATCACTGTAAAAATTAACATGTTACTTTCATACTTCATTTATACTTAATAGTATATATATATGCATATATACAATTATTTTTAAACATAAGTGCATATATATTATACTTTAAAGTATAACAAAAATTTTATTCAAGTATAAAAATATTTTAACTCTTAAAATTATCTTTCCAGAATTTTAGAGAGATGCACTCTTAGGCATAGTTATCCATTATTATCCCCAAGAGAAGTACCAGTATATTTGTAATTTTATTAAAAAAATAAAAATAACAATTCATTTGGAAAGTAACACTTCTCTGTGAGGAACTTGCTTCTAGTCCTGATTGTCCCCTGGGAACCACCCGATCCAGTTTAGGGCTGTACCTGCGTTTAGTACTGTTTCAAGCCTGAGCCAGGCAGGCAGGGCAGAGCCGCCAAGAGATAAGGAGACTTCTTTCCGATAGAATGAGGACTGGCCATGTCCAAGCTGAGCTGAGGGGTGCGAAACTTTTTGCCCTTTCTCCGTATCCTCCAAGTCCTTGTCCTGCTGCTCATACTGGCCATGTCTGTCTTAGGTCATCCTTCCCATTGCGGGATCTTACCTGTCTTTGGCTAACGGACCATCACAGGGCCAAGCAGGGTGATGTGAGGGAGGCTGGGGCTGCGCCCCTGCCTGGGGAAGAGGTTTTGTCTCCTCAGTGGCCTGTTTTCCCAAGGCCTCCTTGATTATTTCCAGCCTTGGGGCTCTCTTGCTTGTACCTGGGGCTATAGTCCCTGAAACCAGGCAGGGTGTTTCCCAACATCAAGGGATTCTTGAACCATGCACAACAAACAATTTTGTAGGGTGCGTGTGTTTAATTTTTCTGAGTCATTCCTTTCACCAGATCCCTGGAGAATCCATTTCTGTAAGAGATCTTTATCAGTGGTGGGTACCCTGAGGCCCTGACCTATTCTCATCTGTGATCCCTTCATACTTTTCTTTTAAAATGCATCTCTCTGTGTACCCTCTTTAGTGTCATGCTAAACTCCTTTACTCCATTTTTGTTTGTTTCTATTGAGATACATCCTTTCAGATAGTTATACTGGGAGACAGATAAAAGTGGGATAATTTCTGTGGTTTTGACTTGGATGACTGAAGGAATATGGGGTAGTGGATATTTATTTCTCATTATTTCAGCTGTGCAGCAACTGAACCGCTTTCCTTTGCCTAGGCAGTTCTTCACCACAAGAGTCCAGATGGCAGGGTAAAAAAAGCTTTTCCTCTTCCTAGCCTTCCTTGGAACTGAGGATACGGGGGTCTGGGCAAGTCTGGGCCATTTGGATGTGCCCAACTAGAATCACAAGTATGGAGCTATTTATATACTTTAATATTAAAATTCTTCTGAACTAGGTGAAGTTGTCTAGTGGGCATTTAAGTATAAGATTCCTACTTTTAGGGAAAAGGTATAAATTAAAGCTAAAGGCTTGAGATTGTCAGCATGTGTGAGTCAATAGAAGCTTTGTGTATAGAAGAAACTACATGCCATAGTGTATGGCAAAAGAATATATGTCAAGTCAGAATAAAAAAATTGTATAGTAGTATAACATGATTCATGTTATTTTATAATTAAATTTTTTTAATCCCCTCTACACTGCAAGTACTTCATGATTACTGTCCTTGGAAGTATTTCTGCATTTTCAAGTAGTTTTGTTTGGAAACCAGTCCAATAAATATTCATACAGATTTATAAACACTCCTGTGCCTCCAAAAGTGAAAAAATATTTTTGCTGAGATGCAGTGCCAATATAGCATAATATAAATGTCTTTCTTATCAGTGAATATACAATGTCCAAATCAACATGTATAAGGTGGTGTGTCAGGCTATGATATGAAGTTCAAGAAAACTTGTAGGAATATAATCACCATAAAAAGATTAGCATAAATGTTACAATAAAAGTTTATTTCTGAAGCACTTATTTATTCAGATAAACTCCTTTGGTATTTGTAGGATTCCCATTTGATATAAGTCACACAAGCAGACAAATACTTTATTTTTCCCTTGTCACTAAATGACCTACCAATTAGCTTTCCTTTGTCTAGTCTCTGTTTTCTTTGAACCCTGTCTCCCAAGCCACCTATCAGCATTTTATTGCTGTGATCTCTTGCAGAAAACTTAATATAACAAATAACTTTATTATTTATTATGCAGAAGGTACTTTAAAGGCACTGAAAATATAAATCCCCACCCCAGGTTGTCATGGATGAGGGGAATAAACACAAGTCATCGCAAACACTTCTCTGTGAAGAACTTACTTCTAGTCCTGATTGTCCCCTGGGAACCACCTGATCCAGTTTAGGGCTGTACCTGCCTTTAGTACTGTTTCAAGCCTGAGCCAGGCAGGCAGGACAGAGCCGCCAAGAGATAAGGAGACTCATCTTATGTAATTTACAGTCAAGTGAGGGTGGAGAACATTAATCAAATATTTGCTCAAAGACTGATGTGAGGTCAAAAAAGTGGTAAGTGCTGGGGAAAAGAGTATAATGTTGGGATATTTGACTTTGCCATGGAGCTCAAGGAAGTGTTCTTAAAATTTGGGCCAAGATATAAATAAAGTTTGGAAGTTAACTTGATCGTGAGGAAAGAGAAGGCAGGTCTAGGGAACTTCTGCTAAAACAACGTGGTGAAAATAGGGTATGAGTTCCTTAAATTAGTCTCAAGTGATTGTGGTGCTGAGAGTCTGGATCAGTGTGGAGTAGGAAAAGAAATAAGTAAGCAGGATTAGACCTGGCAGGGATTTCTAGGTCACGTTATAGAGTTTGGTGCTACGCTAAGAAAGATATTGAAGTGTTTCTTAAAAAGGAGGGTTTTATTGTCAATATATTTTAAAAATGTTATTTAGTTTTCATGGCAAATAATGATTGAAGTAGAGAAAGACTAAACAAGAAAACCTTGTTACTGCCATTATTTAATATTTTAGTGCTTTTGTATTAAGATCATAAAAGTGGTGATGGAGAGAAGAGGACAAATTGAGAGCAAATTAGAAAAAAAGATAACATGTGGTGATGCGAGAGGGAGAGTAGAAGGAAGGCCAGGGTGGGATGTGAGTGGGAGGCTGGTGACGGGGGGGCAGCGGGCTTACAGACCGCACAATTTTCTTGCATGACATGCTGTCTGTTAAAATGTGGTCAACTGGGAGATAATTCCTTTTGTGAAGGAAGTTCATGAATTATTTTTATATGTTGAGTTTGCAGTATCTTTGAGATTGTAGATTTGATGTGCTAAATAGGCAGTATGCTCTATGGGTCTGGTGCCTAGGGCTAGATATATAAGTTTAATGTACATTACTTCACACATGGTAATTGAAACTGAGAATATAAGATATTAACTAAGGATGTTGTGGAGGGAAGGCGTAGAGAATATAAAGGCTACAGTTCTAAAAAGACAGGCTAAATGAGACTAATGATTGAATAACTGCATTGATAATTCAGATGAAAAATTGTATTCAGCTCATTTTATGTAACTTTTTTTTAGCACCCTTCCCACACCTATGAGAAGTAGTACTGCAATGACAAGAGTCATACATTAACATATACATGCACACACAGAGCTCTCAAGGACACAAGTAACCCTCTGGACTATCCTATGTCATAAGTTCAAACTTCATGGGTTTTTCAGCCAGAGAAATGGAAACTGATTTACTGCTGAGTGGATTACAATTGACAAATCCATTGTTTATTGTCTTCACATTTTTTCCTAATTATGTTAGTATGAGAGAGTTGGGCACATTTCATGCTCCGAGTCTGTGGTGTGCCTTCTTCTCTTGAAAACCTGTATAAAGAAAGTAAATGGTTATCTTTACATCAGCCTGGGAGATACACATATGTCTAGAGACTGAGAGGAACTCAGAAAACATTTTCTAATTATTGAATAAAAGTATGATCATTAAAACAATTTAAACAATATACAACAATATAAAAGGTAAAGTAATTTTTTCCACCTTCAGTTTTATTGCTCAAAACCTCTCTCCAGAGAAATTAACAGTTAATAAATATTAGTTTAAAATTCATATGGGTAATGTTAAAATATTACCTTTGATTTTTTATTAAAAATTATTAACACTGTAAGAAATAAACAGAAACTTATCTTTTGTGAACTAAATTTGTACTCTCTTATGAGATTTTACAATAGCCAATTTCTTCCTTAAATAAAGTAATAAAATAAAAGGTGGAAAATCTTATTTCACACATAAATCTCAGTGGATGAAGCAAAATTTGTTTTGCTTCTCCACTTTCTGTGTGGAGCATTTATGAGAATATTTATCAGGTTATAAGAGCTGGGAAATTTATACTTGTTCACTCAGTTCAAATCCAACAATATCAGACAACCCTTTCTTATCACACAGAAAATCACAGAGGAACTAAAAAATGCAACAAACTTACAGATGAGGGTCAAAAGGGTTGTTGTCTACCCAGGTCCATGATTTTCCATTAGCTGGAATACTCAAGCCAATCCAATAAGAGTCTGAACAATTCAGGTGCAGCCATAGGAAACTCTAAAGGGAATAGTAAATGTTTTATGAAACAACTAATACTTATTGATATAAGAAAGATATCCCAAGTGCACTTTCTTTGTGCTTGGAGCTGTACGAGAAGCTGGGAATGAGCAGATGAGTAAAATACTTTACGTTTTCTAATAGATCATTGCAGAAAGACAAACTATTGCAATGCAATGTGATGACTGCTAAAGCAGAACTACATGCAGTAGCAGCAGATACTAAGGTTGCGGAGTACGATTGCTAAATCTGAGTCCTAGCTCTAATATTTACTCCTGTGCATCTTAGCACAGTTATTAAATCTTTTTATTTCTGTTTTTCCCAATCTCTAAAACTCAGATTATAATAGTTCCTACCTCAAAGAACTATTATTTTTTATTGAATAATATTATTAAACACTGCCTGGCACACAATGCCACAATGGGTCTTCTAGATGGACTAATAATTACTTTGGGGGGCTCATTTTATCTTTAACTTACTTGAAAGCTAGAGAAGTATTTGGGTGAAGATTATTTTGTTTCTTGGAGTAATTCTTCTGCAATATATATTTTATATGATTTTTACTTGTCCTGTTTTGGAGAGGTTTGGGATGGAAATATCTATGCATAAGTCATATGCTGACTCTTATTAGATTTTTATTTATCCTTGAAAGGGAACAATTACATCTAACCCATTCATTTGCTAATGAACGTTGTGAAAAGGTGTAACCTGAATTAGAAAAAAAAAGTTCCCATTAAAATATGCTGCTTCAGTCTATTGTTCTCCAAAATCTGCTTTGCTGATTGACCAGGAGACATGTCTTTTTGGCTTTTCAGCGTTCCTCCCTTTGGTGGTGAGCTGCAAATAGATGAGGTTCTTAGTAAGGTGTTTCATTGCACAGTTTCTTCGTGTAGTGATTTACTGTTAGTTCATTACAGAGCCTGCTTCTCCTTTCTTGTCTTAAAATTGACCTCTGGGAGAAGAAAAAAGTCTCTTTCAGTTCTTAATCCACCCTTATGTGGTTCATATGTGAACCAGTTTGAACTGCATCTGACAAAGAGTCTTAGAGAGTTCGGTATTTGGGATTTTACTGGTTGCACTAAAGATAGCTTAGTTCTATTTCTGTTTTTCTTGTTGTAGATTTCCACTCTCAGAAGTTTCACCAGCTGCCCTGTTGTAAATCACACAGAGGGTTGTTGATCTACTAGGATGGTAAAGCATTCATTGGAATTTTAGAAAGTCTTTGTCATAGTTTGTGATCCCAACATACCAATACTCATGCTGAGAATCCTTATCTGATGTTTGCCAATTAACACTTATATTGGTCTTATTAAGCAGATTTAGTGTCCAAGCTCATGTAGCAAAATTTCAACTTAAATTAAACCAGAGTTAGCAAAATATTAGTTCTCAAGGAAGAACAAAATCTTAATGTGAAGGACTGTGCTGTATTTCCTTTTTCCCAACATTGCTTTTAATTTTAACAACCTTTGTGAGCACTGCAACAAGCATGGGAGGTGAGGTAAGATATTTTATCTTACATTTTAAAGTGAAATCTGGTAAGCAGCGAAGACATCCCTTGTAAATAATAATTTAGGAGTATAATACTAAATGAATTCTTTCTATCCTTTCCAAAAAGAAGCCTAGAATAATCATATAGGTCAATGATTTATTCAACCAATATTTTATAGTGAATAGCAATGTAGATTAAAGAAAATTGGAAACTTTCAAATGTGTAGCACAGGGAATACATTGTGATTGTGAAGGATGCTATAATCTCTAAATTTCATTTCTCACCATATCAATGAAGTCTCGAATCACCATGAGCTGTGAATTTTTCGTGACACAGTCATTTTTACTTTCAATCCAAGATTTCTTATATTTAGCAACCCAGTAACATTTCCCACCATGTAGCTTCCAGTCTGTGGAGGGGCATGATTTATGAGCAGTAGAAGAGTTGGAAGAAACTGGGACGAAAAAAGATAAAGATAAGTAATTAGAAGGAACTTGGAACTATATCCCTAATATTGTATGATTATAATAAATTGCAATTTTTACTGGTAATTTAATCTTGCTTACAATATTACATGATTAAAGCCTCCAGAAATTTGTTAAATAATGGTTCAAGCTTTTTTTTTTGACAAAAGTATGTGCTTTTCTCAGGGTGGACTTGGAAAAAACAAAAATGAACAGACTATGTGTCTATTCGTTCATTACTTATTTATGTATTAATTTAAGTTATTCTCCTAGAAATATATCATGTTCTTTACTAGTTAGACAATACTCTGAACACTAGGACAATGAACATCACATCCAAGCCACAGGGTGATAATATTTTACAGAAAAATTAGAAATTAAAGATTTTAATTAGTGGTCCACCAATGAACCAGATATTTTGGGAGCTATATATCACACTGAAATAGTTTTTCCTGAACAAAATTTATGTAATTGGTCACCCCCAAAACTTAGATCAATCCTTCCATGCACAAAAGGGTCTTCATATCTAAAAATGGGCTCATAGTTAACAGTTCTAATTGATAATATTTGCCAGTAGATTTAGATGTCAATACACAAGCAACCTAAATATACCAATAATTTATTGTCCTCACAAATAAATATTCTTTTAAAACACACATATGCACACACACACACAACACACACAATGATCTGAAGCCATTGAAGAGTGTACAAAAGCAGGCAGATTTTGGAGGGGAGCTGACACTTGAAAAGTATGGCAAGGACCCATGGACAAAGACAATAGGGAAGAAAGAGGGTTGAATGTGGGAGGTGGGGGTGAGTAGAGCAGGAGGCAATAACGGGGAGAAAATGAGGACAACTGTGATTGAAAAACAGTAAAAAAGAGAGAAATATATGATATAAAAACTGAGTCAAGTGAAGAAAGTTGTTCAATGGTAAATGATGAGCACCAACAAAAAGAAGAAGGTCTAGAAGCAACCTGATATATTCAGGTAGGGTAGGCATGGGATTATGGGATGAGAGGAATGGCAAAAGAAGCTAAAGGAGGTAAGTGGGGCCAGGTCTGGGGATCCTAGCCTTTTTCCCATAAGAAATGGTCACCCATTAATTAATTTCAAGCATAGATGTTTCAGTTGGCAGGGATGTATGGACATAATTACATTTTTGGAAAATAGCTTTGGGAACACTTTGCAGGGTATGAACCAGCAGTGGCAACGAGATGAGCAGGGGAAGCAAAATTTGTGCAAAAGCCTACATTTCCTTAGTAAACCCCAATGTTGGATGCAAACATAACTTTCAACAATCAAATATACAACATAAATAAAGCTAGACATATTTTACTTGAAATCAATTAAAGTTGCAATAGGCTGTTTTAGAATAAAAACATTGGATAGGCTTAAAAGTAAAGAATTAACAAAAGAAATCTGGTTAGTACTTGAAATTGTCTAATATAAAAAACAGACAAAAATAGTTGTAAAAATATACAGCACCTCAAGGATTAGCAGGACAATATAACAATATCTAACATACATAAAATTAAAGTCTTATAACCAGAGGAGAGTGAAAATAAGGTAAAAAATGATAATGGCTTTTATATTTCTCATATTAGATACTTTGACTAGATCATTTGAAGCTGTGCTTCCTAACCATTTTTATTTAATAGAATATAAAAATATATTTCTAAAATATAGCCAGATAAACAAATAATAATCTGTTTATACTCTACCAATTAACTACTGGGACCTTTATAGCTCAAGAACCTTAAGGCATACAAATATGTTAGGGCACACTATTAAAAAACTCTTCTTTGAAGATAATTTTACTGCAAGAAAATTAGAACCTAAATAAATTAGATAAAAATGTTGCTTTCCTTGGGAGAAATAAGAAAAATTACTATAAAGAACCATTTTTCTAGAAGCGAAATGGGGAACAATGACTGTGTAAATGAATTCAAAAAGCAATGTTCCCTCAAAGCCAATGCCTTTCATCAGTGCTGGGATCATAAGACCAAGGCTTGGATTTACTGAAAGGTGATGGTGTGAGTTTATGAGACCCTTCTCAATAGCCCAGGGTCTTCACATGTGCCATAAGCCACCCAAATCATTAGCTCCCCATTGTCTCCTTGCAGAGGAAAATGCAAATAATATATGCAAAAAAGTATTTTTAATTTTTCTCTTAGAAATCCAACAACTGAGATTGAGCGAAGTTTTAAAAAAATTAAATACTTTAAAAACAAGGAACATATTAGCAGGAAGTACAGACAGCAGATTTGGTCACTAAGGACTTGAGATATTTAGTAATCATATGTATCAAAAATAATAATGGTTAAATTTGTTTTGGCCTTTCAAAGTGTTAGGCACATGGACTTTGAACTGGTAACACAATCAAGAGTTACCTTGCAGTACTTGGTTCTTCAACTCCGTTAGGTCACCTGACCACAATGATGAAGTCACCAACAGGATGACATCAGGAACTAAATTAATCATGTTGAGGAAAACAACTGAAGCTGGCACAACAACTAACCAATCAACTTTATTGTTGAACCCTAACCCCTAACCCTCAATCTTTGCCTTTAGAAATCTTTGATTAAAAGTCATTAAAGGGTTGGAGGAGAGGAGGGAAGTTAACAGGCTTGCAAATAAATCTTTAGGTTTAAAAACTAGTCATTGAAATTAGACTTAATGAAAGAGTCAGCAGCTTAGAAGAGGGAATTTGTGAACTACAAGATGTATCTGAAAACATTGCCAAGAATTCAGCACAAAATGACAGTAGTGAGAACAAAATACAGAGTTAAAAGAAATAGAGGATAGGAAACAAAGGTCTATTATTGCAAATCTTTTCTAGAAAGAAAACAGAGAGAAGGTAGACAAAGAATTAGGAGTGATGGTTGAACAGATCTATTAAGTTTTACTTTAAGTCGACTTTATTATTTAATTAAGATCTAACACATTTAAAGTTGGTATCCTTTCCTGTTGAATTGAAACTAGAAGTCTAGAAGAGGTGACATACATCTGTAACAATAGAATGAGGAATAGAAAACTGTTTTCACAGAATTTAAAGCTAAAGCTTTTTGATTGCCCCTAGTACCACTTGTATTATAAGCATTAAGAGTACGATAAAGTGCCTTACTCTGGAGATAAATTTTCCAAATATTTGTCTTCATAGTCATACCAGTTAAAACATTTTTAGCTAGTATGCATGTTGTATCAGGTAGTGTTTAGAATTTGTTTGAGGGGGCTTGGAAACCTCAAAATCTAATTGAAAGTTTTAATGAATTCCCAGAATCTGAATGGACTCTATGATATAGACTGGTAAATCTTGCTAACAAAATTATATCTAGATGCTCAGAAGAAGAAAGATATATAGTGTTTCAATACAGAATTAAAACTTAAATTGAAAGACTTAAAAATGTATAAAGGAAGCAACTGGAAAAAGAAAACAAAAAAGTCAAATAATTAAGTGTTTTCTTGACTTTTAAAAGTATGAAACTACATTTATATAAGAAAGCAAGAGAAAGACTAATATAAGATTATCATTTGCAATTTGTTTTTTCATGTAATAATAACATTAAGAACATGACAAAAAAACCCTACCTGGTATGATAATAAATTTTAAGAATTAAAATATTTTGAATACATTTGCAGTTGTGTATGTTCCAATAGAAATTAACAAAGAATAAAATGCAATTGTTTCAATGAAATACCTTTGCATTCATTTAAAACACATTATTTAATCTTATTTTTTTCATTTGCCTTGGATCTTGGAACATTTTTGTCATGAACTATAATGGGTTTATGGAAAGCAATGATTTAAACCATCCTTTTGTAGGGGTAGAATCTCCTTATGCAGATATACCCAAATAAAACCAATACTACTCTTAATGCTTGGTTACTCAGGAATTAAGTAATATAAAATAATGTTACCTATTGAGGTGATAGTTTCAGATTTATTTTTCCCATAACAGAATGTCTCTTCTGATTCCTTATCCACTTCAGTATGTCTTGCAGATTTGAACTGGATAACTAATGAAAGAAATACATATTTTCTTAATTAAATACAAAGCAGAAAACCATTGAGTTCTAGTGCTGATGGGATTTTCATTGATGTGGAAATTCCGTAATAAGCTAAATGATTAGAATTTAAGTGGGAGAGGATCCAAGCTGATAGTGGAGTATGTGGATGTTAAATTCACTTCCTCCCAGGAGCAAACTGGAATTACAACTAAAATATAGAACAATCAACCTGAATAACCAACTGAAATCTTGCTGATCAGAAGGTTTATAACCAAAGATTTACAGAAGAAGCCACATTTACATGGGTTGGAATGGTGGAGATGTGAAAATGGTGGAGATGGCCCCATTTTCATAAGCATCAGCTGAGATTCTGGAGGGATATCTCAGCTGCAAAGATTCCCCTGAGAAGTTGGGGTCTCAATAACACACAAAGCCTCACAGCTCAGAGCACCAGATCCAGGAAGAGACACCCACTAACATCTGGTTGTGAAAATCGGTGGAGATTCTGTTTACCAGGAAAAGGCAGGAGTCTGCTAGAGACACAGGTATACACTTAAAGGGCCTTTACACAAGATCTCATTCACAACCACCCACCCTGGGCTCTGATGGAGGGAGGGTGGAGTGGACTAGAGATGTGTGGAGAGAGACCAGGGTCTGTGGCTCTAGGGAGAGAGCTGAAGGAACGGCCACCAGAAATGCTATGCCTATTCCCTCTTCCATTCCACAGAAGCCAACTTTCTTGGGTGGAACACTCCCGTCTTTATGGCATCAGCCTGAGGGAATGCAATAACCACATTTTTTGGACTCCCTGTTGCCTCACCCTGTGGAGCTCATACCCTGCTCTGGAGTCAGCTTCCTGGGCTGAGGTACAGAGGTCTAAGCAAACGTAAGTGGTGCCAATGACTGGGTGGTATGGCTTTGGGACAGATACCATTCCCCCTACTTTCCATTAACCTGACTGGTGTCTCTTTCCTCACAAAAGACCTGCTAGCCTCACCTTCCTGGCTCCTGGTGGCTTCATCCTCCTGATTTCTGGCAGCCCCACCTTGCTGAAGTCTGGGCAGAATCCAGGACATTCTGAGCTGTGTGGTGCTGGGGCAGGGACAACTTCACCCTCCTTCCACCAACCTGACCGGCACTTCCCCCTTTCAGAAGCTCCAGTAGCGCAACCCTTCTCTCAGTGGCCATGCCTGACAAGCTAGGCCTTGCAGCAGAATCTTGGACAGACTGAGTTGTTTTGCTCTAGGACAGGGAACACATTTCCCTTGCATGCCCGTCTGGTGCAGAGCTATCACTTCATGCAGCTAAATCTTGGTCTTTTTGAGCCTGAGAAACTCTGCTGGCCTCACCCTGAAGAATTCCTGAGTCCCTGCCCCCACCACAAGATCTGTGGTCACCCAGTAGGTGGCAGCCAGATTTGTTATACCCTGTGATATTTGTTGAGTGCCCTCAGATCCAGCACCAGCACTGAGTGTGAAGCTGTGCCAACCTGATGAACACCACTTGCCACTACCTGTTGACTCACTGAGAACCTAGCTCATGTAATTTGAGTACTGCCAGAGATTCTTTCAGTGACTGGGCCTAAAAGGGATCTAGCAGGTGGAGGCAAGCAGAAGCAAATCTTGGGGTGCCTTGGGACTTTTGCTGAGCTTCCTCCCAGGCCTAACAATGGTAAAAACTGGCCTTGGTGTGCAGCTTGGTACTCCCCACATGCACCCAAGCACAGCAAAGGCAGCCACAAACTGTGGATTGTCTTTTAACTGCAAACAGATTGCCCAGAGACAGTCACATGCAGCGCCTGGCTTTGGTCTGCTCCAGAGTCATTCCAAAGAGGCCCCAGAATACACATACCCAGTAGTCAGCTTCAGACAACATCAGAGCAGGATCTAATTAGCTTCACAAACAGCATATTGAAAAGGAGGGAGATCTTGGCAGGCATCAGACCCTCCTCAGACAAATTCTACTTTATGAGGTCAGCACCTGCACAGCAGCTCATACACTAATCCACGTGTTGATCCTCACAGTTAGCAAGCCTGAGAGTTGACCTCAAGCACAAATTGGCCAATAGAAATCAAGACTCAATTACAATGGGTGTTCCCACATAACCTACACAAGCGACATTCATGGAGGATCCAGCTCAGGTGATCAAAAAGACAATACCACTGGGGCCCACAGAATACCTACTTCATAAGGCAACCCTACCAAAATTATATCTCCCTAATGCAAAAAACAAACATAAAAAGGCAGCCATAAAGGGGACACAAAGAGACATGCCTCAAATGAAAGAACAGGAGAAATCTCTAGGAAAAAAGCAAAATGAAATTGAAGCAAGTAATATACAAAATATAGAGTTCAAAAGGTTATAAGGATGTTCAAGGAACTTAGTGAAGAGTTCAGGAAAGAGAGAGCAAGCATAAAACGGGACATAGAAACCATAAATAAGAACCAGTCAGAAATGAAGAATACAGTATCAGAAATGAAAAATATACTAGAAGAAATAAATAGTAAGTTGGATGAAGCAGAGGATCAAACTAACAACTTGGAAAACAAGATAGAAAAAAATATAACCAGTCAGAATATCAGAAAGAAAAAAAAATAAAAAATATGGATAATTTAAGGTACTTTTGGAAAAACATGAAACATAACAACATCTGCATTGTAGGGTTACTAGATGGAGGAGAGAGATAACAAGGGATTGAGAACTTATTTGAAGAAAAAAATGACTGAAAATTTCCCTAATCTTGTGAAAAAATAAGGCTGAAATCCAAGAAGCAATGAGAGTCTCAAACAAGATGAACCCAAAGAGGTCCACACCAAAACACATCATAAATAAAATGGTAAAGATTAAAGATAAAAGAAAATCTTAAAAGTTGCAGGAGAAAGTAAGTTACGGACATGGAAGCTCTCATAAGACTGTCAACTGATTTTTCAACAGAAACATTTCAGGACAAAAAGGATTGGCATGAAATATTCAATGTGATGAAAAGCAAGGAACTTTAACCAAAAGTACTTTTCCTAATAAGGCTATCATTTAAAATTAAAGGAGAAATAAGTATTTAGCTTCCCAGGCCAAAACAAAACAAAACAAAAAAACTGGAGTTTATTACCACCAAACCAGTATTACAAGAAATGTTAAAGGGCCTTCTTTAAGAAGAAGAGGAACGAAAAACAGGAACAAAGTTGAAAGAATAAAATGGAAATATGTATGTACCTATCAGTAATCACTTTAAATATAAATGGCTTAAATGCTGCAAATAAAAGGCATTGGGTAATTTAATGGATAAGAAAACAAAACCCATAAATCTATATACTGTGAACTAGAGACCTGCCTCAGAATGAAAGAATCACATAAAAGAAAAGTAAAAGAGCTGAGAAAGATATTTCATGAAAATGGAAATAAACCCTGGGGTGACAATATTTATATCTGACAAAATAGACTTTAAAACAAATGCTATAGTAAGAAACAAAAAAAGACACTACATAGTGATAAAGGGAACAATCCAACAAGAGGATATAACCTTTGTAAACATTAATGCACCTAACATAGGAACACTTATATATATAAAGCAAATCCTGATGGACAGAAAGGGAAAGATTGAAATCAATGGATAGATTTTTCAGACAGAAAATCAACAAGGAAACAATGGTCTTAATTGACAAACTAGGTAAGATGAATTTAACTGTTATCTTCAGAGAATTTCACCTTAAAGCAGCAAAATATACATTCTCTTCAAGTGCACATAGAGCACTTTTTAGGGTAGACTACATGTTAGGACACAAAACAAGTCTTAATAAACTTAAGATAATTTGAATCATATCAAGCATCTTCTCTCAGAGCCATAATGATATGAACCTACAAGTCAATAACAAGAAGAAAAACTAAAAAGCACACAAAGACATGTGGGCCAAATAACATGTTACTAAACAATGAATAGGTTAACAATAAAATGAAGAAAGAAATAAAAAGATACCTTGAAACAGATGACGATGAGAACACAACAACCCAAAACCTATGCAACACTGTGAAAGCAGTCCTGAAAGGGAAACTCATAGCATTATAGGGTTAGCTCAATGAACAAGAACAATTTCAAATAAACAATCTAACATTACACTTAAAGAAGCTAGAAAAAGAATAAAAAACAAAGCCAATGTGAGAAGAAAGGAAATAATGAAAATCAAAACAAAAGTAAAGAAAAATAGGATTTAAAAAATACAATAGATGAATGAAACCAAGAGGTGGTTCTTTGAAAAGACAAACCTTTAAACAGAGTCATCAAGATAAAAAGAGAGAGGACTCAAATTTAAAAAAAAAATCAGAAATGAAGGAACAACTGCAGAAGAGAAGTAACAACTAACACCAAAGAAAAACAGAAGATTGTAAAGAAATATTATGAACAACTGTATGCAAACAAATCAGACAACCTAATCAAATGGATAAATTCCTAGAAACATGCAATCCTCTAAATTCAAATCAGTAAAAATCATAAAATCTGAATAGACACATTATAAATAATTGATGTAGTAAAAGAAAAAAACCCAAAACCTAGCAACAAACAAAAGTTCTGATCTGAAAGGGAAAATTGAACATATATGTGCAAAAGAAAAAAAGAAACTAGATTATCTTCTTACACCATCCACAAGAATAAACTTAAAATGAATTAAAGACTTAAATATTAGACTCCAAAATGAAAAATAAAACCTAGAAGAAAACTCAGGCAGTAAAATCTCAGATATTTCTCATAGCAATATTTTTTAATACATGTCTCTTTGGACAAGAGAAAAGAAAAAAAAACATTGTATTACATCAAACTACAATTTTTTTTTCACAGTAAAGGAAACCATCAACAAAATGAAAAGACCACTTACTGAATGGGAGAAGATATTCTCTAATGTTACATCTGATAAGGGGTTAAAATCCAAAGTTTATAAAGACCTTATACACTTCAATACACATATAAAACAAACAAACAAACAAACAAACAACTCAGTTAAAAAGTGAGCAAAGGACCTGAATAGACATTTCTATGTAGAGGACATACAGAGTGCCAATAGCCATATGAAAGATGCTAAACATCACTAATTATCAGAGAAATACAAATTAAAACAACAATAAGTTATCATCTCACACTTGTCAGAGTGGCTATCATCAAGAAATCAAGAGACAAGTGCTAGCGAAGGTGTGGAGAAAAGGGAACCCTTGTTCACTACTCATGGGAATGCAGATTGGAGTGGCCACTGTGGAAAGCAGTGTGGAATTTACTCAAAACATTAAAAATGAAGCTGCCTTATGGCCCAGTGACTCCACTTCTGGGAATATATCAGAAGAAACTTGAATCACTAATTCGAAAGAATATGTGCATCTCTATGTTCATTGCAGCGTTATTTATACTAACCAAGATTTGGAAGCAGCCTGAGTGCCTATCACTAGAGGAGTGGATAAAAAAGCTGTAGTACATTTACACAATAGAAGACTACTCAGCCATAAAAAAGAAGGAAATCTCATCTTTGCGACAGTATGGATGGACTGAAGAATATTATACTAAGTGAAATAAGCCAGTCAGAGAAAAATAAATACTATATGATTTCACTTATATGTGGAATCTAATGAACAAAATAAAGTTACAGACAAAACAGAAACAGACTCATAGATATAGAAAACAGTGACAACTGTTAGAAGGGAGGGGTTTGGGGAGCTGAGTGAAAAAGATGATGGAATTAAGAAAAAATTCTCAAAACCACAGGCAACAGTATGGTGATTACTAGAAGAAAAGGGGGTTGGAGGGAAGTTGAAGAGAAGTAAGAGAAGGTACAGGGGGGATAAATGGTGATGAAAGGAGACTTTGGGTGGCGAGCACACCATACAACATACAGAAGATGTATTATAGAATTGTACACTCGAAACCTATATAACTTTATTAACCAATGCCACCCTGACAAATTCAACATTTTTTAAAAGCTTGTTTGAATTGATTAATTTGAAAACAATTTCTCACCTATGGATACAAGATTGATAATGCCCAAGAGTGGTCAATATGGATAAATTTACATATAAATATACTTTCTAATTTAATTTGCTTTTATCTTCATGTGGTTTTAAAGAAGGTTGTGCATAGCCCATTATCAAAGTGCATTTGGAAATTAATTGTGTGATCATGTTTATTAAATATACATAAATATAATCTTGACATCTCCTTTATCAATGAAATAAATATATATATATATTATAACACATGCTGAAGTTCTGTGGCAAATGTCTAATTGTAATTGTGTTTCAAATTCACACTTTTTGTGAAATTTACTTTACTGTTTAGGAATCTCTTGAACAACAAACACAATTACAACAGGTCACGAGAGCACAATATCTTGAGATAAATGAATAGTATTGTCAATTACTTACCAAAAATGCTGAGCATAATTATTATTATTACAAGGAGAATGATGATTATTGTACATCCAATTTTCAGAAAAATTCCTTGATGGTGAGAATCTATAAAATTGGACAGATTTCACTAATAAGCTCTGAAGATAATTGCTTAGGTAATGATAGGCGGGAAAGGGCTGAATAAACTTTGTCAGTTATCATTCTCCTGAGTTACTTTGAAATAGATAGACCCAGCTTCCTTCTACACACACACGCACACACACCCCCCCCATAATTGCTTTTAAAGTTTGTAAAGAGAGGGGTCAATAAATCCAAATCTCTCATCCATAATAATTACAACATATCAATTCTACTAGATATGTGATACTATACACATATACATACAATACTCTGAGAAAGAACTAAAATGACTGATTTTAAAATATGACCAGTTACAAAATCAAGTGTCAAGGCTGATTAACCTGAATGCTTATAAAGTGGAATGCTATTATAGAGTGCTTAGTTCTGTGTTCAAATTACTTTTAGCAGCCCTGGCTGGTGCGGCTCAGTGGACTGAATGCCAGACTATGAAACGAAGGGTCACTGGTTCGATTCCCAGTCAGGGCACATGCCTGGGTTGTAGGCCAGGTCCCCGCTTGGGGGTGTGCAGGAGGCAGCTGATTGATATATCTCTCACACATTGATGTTTCACTCCCTCTCTCTCTCCCTTCCTCTCTGTCTACAAATAAATAAGTAAAACATTTTAAAAAGTTACTATTAAGTAATTATTAAGAATATATTATTAATAAATATATTAATTTTTAAAACATAAAAAAGTCTATATATTTTTATTTGCCAGATAAAACAATGCAAATTATGCCAGTCATGGCAAACACAAAAAAATTGAGGTGCTATTTCTACACATATTTCTAATATGAAAAACGGAGGTTATAGACCTAAAAAATTACAGAATAAAACTTCAGATTTTATGAAAGAATTGACATAAGAGATATTAGGTCATTTTTAGTCCTTTGAGGTAAGATTTAAGAAAAACATGAATGTCTGAATCTTATCCTGGAATATTCTCATTGCAATATGCCTTGATATTCCTTACTGATATTTTCTTTCCTTTTCACTGATATTCTGCTAATTTTCATGGTGACATCATTTTTGGTTTTCAGTCTTGGAGAACCAATGAGCCCATAATACTTATTGAGTATGTAATCAGTTTCATTTATTTATGTGTCCATTTATACATTCATTCATTTAACAAGCATCTTTTGACTGCTTTCTATGTTCTTAGTGCTGTGTTATGTGTTGGGAATATGAAGATTAAGAGATTAGGGAGATGGTTGAAACATTTCCCTAATCAATTATGGTCATTTTAATGGGCAAAACAGCAAGAGCAAAATAAGTGAAATGCAGGAAGTTAGAAGAGGAACACCTGGGACAATTGTGTAGAGCTTTGCAGGGACATAAAAATCTCATATTTCAAATAATTCTTTCCTTCTCTAATGATATGACAATGAGAACAAAATTTGCATGTATCCAACAAGAGATATGCAGTGAAAGACATTTGACTTCTGGTCATAAGCATCATCATAGGTAGCTTAATTTTTATATAGTCATGTTTTCTCACATTTAATGTTAGAAGATTGGACTTGAGAACATTAAAGATATTGTCCTCAAATTTCTAAATCAGGAATGAAGTAAAATCTTATCCCTAAACAGAAGGGAGATTGAACCATAGAATGCAGAATCAAAAATGCTAGTTTTGTTGCTTGAACGGAGTGAAATAACCTCTAGAAAAGTGAACTAACCCTATGGGACTTTTTTAGAGGTTCATGAGTGAGAATGCAATTCTAGTTCATGTTAGTTTTCAAATTAAATTCCATCATCTCACAGAAAATGAAAACATCTAGTCTAGGAAGAAAAGAAAGTAAATAAGCTTATATTGGGCAAGTTAGAGAGGTAATATTTAAAAATAGGAAATAATGTGCTTCTGCAACCAACGAAACACACGCATCAAATTCACTTGATAAATCCAAGCTTAAGAATATAAAAGAAAAAATGCATTCTTTCAAATACAAATGAAAAGCAAAACAGATTCATTTCACAAGGGGAAGAACAATGAAGAGAACCTAAAATATTTAAACATTTTATATAAACCTTATAATATAAAAAAATTCTTACTCTAGGGGAGAACATAAATTCAACACGGAAATTTCTCTAATGTTTCAGAGAACAAAAATACGCTGGATTTGATGATATCATTTTTGAGGTGGTTTGTGATTAAGCTATAATGTTATCTTTAGCCAGCAATTTTCCACCAGTGTGCTGCAAGAATTTTTAAAACATGCAATAACTTACTACTTAGTCAAGGGTGCTGACCTCATTTCCCTTAGACTGTCAAATAAAAAACAAATGAGAGTAGCTGACACAACAATAGCCATCTGGTGTGAATGAATCAAAATTATACCTATTTTTTGTCATGTTGGCAAAAATATACATTTTTTGGTGTGTTGCAGAATGTAAGTAATTAGTTTATGTGTGCCATGAGAGGAGGGAAAAGAGTTGAAAATCACTATTTTTATCTATATGCTTCTCTCTTCGTATTTTAAAAATACTCCCACAGTCTGTCATTAATTCTAAACTTCATGAAATATACTAATAACAGTTCATGTCTCCTTAATTTAGTTTCAGATTTTATTCTATCATCAATATGCAGATTCTAAGAGGGTAAATAAAAATGTGAATAATTGCCAGAGCTGTTTTCCTCAGTGTAAATGAATTTATCATATTATATTCAAAGGTCAGATTTGATTGGGGGTGAGTAAAGCTGTAGAGAAAAAAGGGGTCGTGAGTAGCTGTCACTGCCTGAGTATAAATATTCACCACAAGAAATATAAAGAAGAGAGAGGCTATGAAAACCAAAAGCAAAGTTCTACATATTAAGGTTAAAGTTACAACGTATACTATGAACATTTTGTTTCATTAAAAACAAACAGTTATTCTTACACTCAATAAGTTTTCCTTTTAACCCAGCCTCCTATTTCCAGTAAAACAAACATAGACATGGAACATGAATAAAGGAGATTAAAAATGAAATATTCATTTTAAAAACAGCCCTAAACCCAACTTACCAGGTGTCAGAAGTGAAGATGAATGTTCTAAAGGTGAAACCCTAACATTTTTGATATCAGCATAGACTATATCTCCAGACATGGTGTATATTAAAAGAGTGCACTGTTCTGCTGAAGGCAGTCTTATATTTCTGCAAACAAACTTCTGTTAAGTAAATTGAAGTTGATGACTTCTTTCTACTCCCACAAGTTTGGTGGATTTCCTCTATGAATAAAAGACAAAAGCAATGTGTTCTGTTTTATCGATCAAGGTAATAGATTTTTGAACCCTTGAATGATATGAAAGAAAAATGTTATCCATACAGTAGTTTCTCACTCTTCTGTTACTTTTCTGTCTAAATTTGGAATACTCTTATGATATTGCATAACTTTCTTCTATTAACACTTCCTCTTTTAATTCAAATATATGCTCTGGCAGCAACTCTGTGATCTCCCAGTGGAATAGCAACTTGGGAGGGACAAGGAGAAAGAGGGTTTTACTAGAAACTGTATCCCTGAGGCTTCTGCTGGAAAAACAGGGCAACAGGGATAGTAGGGCAGAGGGAGCAGGTCTGAAATGTTGTTCAGGTTTTAAGACTTTCCACAGATCAACAGACACAGCGTTGGGTTGCCAGTCTTTTCGGGTAGGGTTTCCTCAGCAAGAACCACACCTGCTTCTGGGTTACTTTCACAGGAATAGCCTTTTGCTTTTCTGAGCTCTCTCTCTGTCTTGGGTCTTTCCCACAGCCCACACCCTCCCCCGGGATTTTTCTGCTTCTGTCAGTTCAGCAATGGATTACCCAACATAAATATCTTGTCCCACAACGGGGTCCAACATGGACGTCCTTGTCCCATACCAGGTGCTGGGGACAGACTGGAGTATTTTGGCCTTCCTTCCTGCAGTGAATGTGGCCTCACCAGGGCCTTAAAAGGCAGTGGCATAAATGGCTTTTCTCCTTCCCAGCTCCCTAAAGATTTGTTGTCCCTCCTCTATAGGGTTCCAGGTTTCCACGTGCCCATGGGGAATCCCCTCACTGGACCAAGCCTTTATGCAGGCTAGAGTAATTTCACCCATAAGGGAGTGAGTACCTTAAATCTCCTGCTCTACAGCACCAAACAGGGTATGTGGTGATGTGGCCCATTTTTTTCTGCTTCCTGACAGGCCAGGGAAATGCTATCACACATTTAATCCCCATATACTTGCCCTGGTCTTTTTCTGGAACTCAGCAACCATAACAATAAGTGAAATGGAAGTATATTTTCTCATCATAAATATTTCCTCAATTGAGGCTGCCCCACTGTCTGGTGGTGTTGTTGCTGTTGATGTTATATTTTGCTTTCCTTTGTGTTAGGGGTTGAAAGGCATGGGGTGTTTTATCCATCAATCACCACACCCTCCTCTTCTCTTCTCTCACTTTCCCAGGGATGTCAATCAGTCTTTGTCACAAGCTCTTGGACCTTAATCAATGGCAGTTTGCATCTTCTTAGCTGTGCCAAGTGGCACAGTAGTGTCTCTAACTTACACTGACCTCCCACTTGTTTGCCAGCCCTGAAGCTAACAGAGTAATGGACAACTGCATATCCTTTTCTAACCTCAGCTCTTCTTCCAACTTTGTAATCAGAGGTTCAGCTTGTGGGTGAGCATCAATGCCCACAGTAGAGGCCAGCCCACTGTGCAGCCATCCTTTTTCCTTCTTAGCCACAGCATGCTCTGCAGAGTTCCTCAAATCAATGCATTAAAGCAGCTGATGTTTTGAGGATGTCCCTGTGCACAAGCACCTAACATATGGGCTACCCCTTTCCTCATAGAGATAGATGGCCAACTGGGAACGTCCCCTGAGGATGCCTCTTTCCCAAGGCTCGTTTCTTTGGTCTCCTGGCTGGCTCATCAAAACCGTTAGTTGGCAAATGGTCCCTGTACAGAAGGCAAGGAGAGACTGAAGAAAGAGCTCCTCCACTCCAGATTGCTAGGTTGCAATATTAATAAGCAAAAGAACTTACTTAACGAGGTTTATCTCAGGGGACTGCAAGATAAGTAGATTTTCACAAGTAGATGTTTACCAGAGCCTTAAAAATTTATGTAAAGACATTAGCTGGGTCCAGTCATGTATTCAGTCTAGGTGATCTCAAGAACACCTTACTCTCTCAAGGCTCCAGCTGTAGAACAATAGGCAGAGTGTACATTCCAAGGAAAGGGAGTTGAGTAAGGAGCCTTGAAATGCTCAGGTCCAGCTCGAGGGTTAACCCATACTCATATCCTCTTGATTACTTCCTCTTGCAAAGAGACATTTTGTGTTAGGAAAAGGGACTACAAATAGTAATGCTTGAGGACGAATGGTTATTTAATAATAAATTGTATATGTTCTTAAGAATTTGGAAAGGTCCTCTTTTTCATCAACATCATGAAAGCACAATACAGGAAAATAAGATACACTAACACAATGACACATTAAAGTTAACCATGTTAAAATGTTCAAGACACAAAACAGACAATATAGTATGTCAAGTAATTAACCACATGCAGAGGGGAGTCTAAGAAAAGGGAAGTTCTGCAATTCAGTATTGTCTTACAGTTACAGAAAGAGGAAATATGGTCTAAACTAAGGAGTAACACTTTAGCTTACAAGATACCATGAAATCATTCACATTCACATTTATGTGAACTTCAAATTCACATAAAACTTGAGGTTTAAGCAAAACTGGAGAGACCAATATTCTCTGACTAGTGATGTCAAAAGTAACTGAGGGACATTTACTTATTTATCAGCACAGACATTTATTTATATTAAGGCAAAGAGATTTTTGTCTAAAAGACATGATATAAGAGAGTGAAGACTAGAGAGAGAGAAGAGAAAGAGAGAGTCAGAATCTACAGTTTTCATTATTTTGTGTGAAATGAGTTTTTATTATACTTATGAAATTAAAATATAGTTTGACTGACTATAAAAGTTAAAATTGGTAATCACATTTTCTCTTAATTTTAATGGCATTTTCTGTCAGATAAAATAATAGTTATTTAAACATATGATATTCCAATTTCTGATTCTATGTCTGGGGCATAACTTTTCTATATGGAAACTTTAAGAATCTTTGATTTATTTCTTGAATTCTGAAATTCCATAGTGATATGTCTTCGGGTCTATTTTTGCCCTTTCTGTTTGGCATTCAGTGGGATATTTTAAACAGAAAGCATATTCTTAACATCTGAAAAAACTTTCATATTTATTTTATAATTTTCTTCTTATCTTTATTCTAATGTCTTTTACTGGCTTTCTTGTCATGAGATGTTGATGCTCTTGAGTTCATATTCTACTATCATTATATTTTTCTTATTTTTAAATCTCTCTATAGATTCTACTAGCTAAGAGACAGCCTCAAGTTTTTTCTCCACTTCTTTTATAAAATTAGTTTAACTTAATTTATGTTATTAAAACTTTAATTTCCAAGGGTTTGTTCTTGTTCTTTAAATTTTTTTTTATTTTACTCTTTTTGTTTAAGTGATTCAGTTTTTTTCTGTACTTCTCACACCCAAGATTATTCATTTTAAAAATATTTCAATTGTTTTCTGTCCTTTACCATCAATTTCAGTCTGAACTTCATGTCATTTGTGTTTTTTTTGGTCTCCACCTTTTAAGAGGCCTACCGAACTATCTAGTGATCCTTGAATGTCTATAAATGTGTAAGAGCAAGGTACTAACTAAGCAGCGGGAAGCTCTGTGTCAGGAACCAGTAGATGTTACTTTGGATGTTGAGGTGGAGACTGCTCTTGTTTTTTATCCTCAATATTTGTAGGTCTCTTATACAAGTTAGTTTTCTCAAAGAGAAAAAACTATTATTCTAGGTGAAATAAGTCAAACAGAGAAAGACAAATACTCTATGATTTCATTTATATGCGGAATATTTTCTACCATTTCCTGAGGCAGCACAGGTCTCTGGATCTGAGGGTCCCTGTTGAGTCACCGGCTGAGGTGAAGGGCGGGCTCTGTCCCACAGAGTATGCTCCAGGTAGTCAGGGATGGGTAAATAAAATAAGTCATCCCAGACACTTTTCTCTTGGTGTGCCCGGGAAGGGGTGGCAGTTCCCTCTAGTGGATAATGCCCTGAGCCCCTGTGCTCGATGGCTTTTATTGAGGACCATATGCACAGGGGTATGGATGCAAAGCTCATCAATCAATGTCAAAAGGCTATGTTTACAGAAAACAGGGATCATAGATAACAATTAAAGGAACACAAGAGATTTGACTCAGGTCAGGGTCTATGAATAATGTAAATTTCCTTCCCAGCATGAGCCGGTTCTCATAGCTTTTGATGTAAAAACAGAGCATGCTACAAGGAAGGTACTTCTAGGCCTGATTTCCCCTGGGAACTGCCTGATCCAGTTTAAGGCTGTACCTACCTTTAATATTGTTTCAAGCCTGAACCGGGTGGGCTTGGCAGAGCCGTCAAGAAATAGGGAGACTTCTTTCAGATAGAATGAGGACTCCGGCCATGACAAAGCCTATGGGTGAGAGTCTTTTGCCCTTCCTCTGTGTCCCCCAAGTCCTTCATGGCACCTATGCAACTGTGCCTGTCTTAGGTCGCCCCTGCCATCGAGGGGTCTTACCCATCATTGACTAACCAGCCATCCTCCGGGGCCAGGCAGGGTGATGTGTGGGCAGGGAGACAGGTTTTGTCTCCTCAGAGGCCTATTTTCCCAAGGCCGTCTTGCTCAGCTCCAGTCTTGGGGCCCTCTCGCCTGTCGGCAAGGCTACAGTCCCTGAAACCAGGCAGGAAGGTTCCAACAACCTCCTTCCACCACCTCCAAAAAAATTCATGGATACAAAAAAACAGACTGATGGTTGCCCAAAATAAGGGCAGGAGTGGACAGAATGGGTGAAGTTAATCAAAAGGTACAAACTTCCAGTTATAAAATAAATAAGCCATTGGGATGTAACATACATTATGGTGACTATAGTTAAAAATATTCTATTGTATATTTGAAAGTTGCTTAAAAGTTCTCATCACAAGAATAAAATTGAAACTATTATGGTGATGGATGTCAGCTAAACATTGCGGTGGTCATTTTCTAATATACACATATATCAAATCATGTTGTACACTTCA